GCCTTGGGAGTGATTGAATTGACAGGGGCAGTGGTTATTTCTGGAGTTATCAGCCCGCAGATGGAATGTTTGAAAGTCACCTATTTCAACTTCTGGGAGCCAAGATGATGAAGTAAGCAGTAAGTCACTCTCACCTTCCCTTATTGACCTTGAAAAACCCAGAGAATATTGCCCTAGGAAAAATCCTGGAATAGTGGAGCCAGCAGAAAGATGAGGTGCAGCAGTCTTTTAGCTTGGGAGGGCAGGGGAATTAACAGGAAAGGTCCCTCTTGCTGTGGCTGAAGGGGACCAGTAAAGGACAGGAGGCTTCCCAGCAAACCAACAGCAAGTCCCAGCTCAGCAAACCAGTGGGAGATCCTGAGCCCCAGGGTGGTGGAGTAGGCAAGCACCAACACCAGGCACACACCAGCCACCACTACTAGCTTCAGCTCAGCACCAGGTAAGCTACAAGACCCTACAGCCTCCAGCTGCCAGCACCTGAGGTCCCAGCACACAAAACCAATAACCAGGCATCTGGCCTTCAGCACAAGAAGTGTGGGACAGTCCCCCCTGTGCCCCAGAAACAGAGATCAACTTTAAAAAGGCAAACACCATGAGCAAAAAGCAACAAAGAAAAACAATGACCATAGGGAAGTATTATGGTGACAGGGAAGATCAAAACACAAATTCAGGAGAGGATAACATTGACAATATGCCCACATCCTAAATTTCAAAGGGGAATATGAACTGGTCTCAAGCCCAAAAAGCCTTCTTGGAAGAGCTCGAGAAGGATTTTAAAAGTCAAATAAGAAAAGTAGAAGAAAAATTGAACAATTTGTTTAAAAATATAATTGACAAAATTGAAAAAAGTATACTGAAGAAAACAACTCCTTAAAAAATAGAATTGGCCAAGTGGAAAAGGAGGTACAAAAGCCCACTGAACGGGGCAGGTAGGTGGCGTAGTGGATAGAGCATCAACCCTGAAGTCAGGAGGACCTGAGTTCAAGTCCGGCCTCAGACCAGACACTTGACACTTACTAGCTGTGTGACCCTGACCCTGGGCAAGTCACTTAACCCCAACTGCCTAAAAACTAAAAAAAAAAAGAAAGAAAGAAAAGAAAAGAAAAAGCTCACTGAAGAAAACAATTCATTAAAAATTAAAATTGGGCAAGTGGAAACTAATGACTATGAGATATCAAGAATCAGTCAAACAAAATCAAAAGAATGGAAAAATAGAAGAAAACATAAAATACCTCATTAGAAAAACAACTGACCTTGAAAATAGACCCAACAGGGATAATTTAAGCAGTATTGGTCTACCTAAAACCTATGATTAAAAAAGAGCCTGGACAGCATCTTTCCAGAAATCATCAAAGAAAACTGCCCTGAGGTCCTAGAACTAGAGGGTAAAATAGTCATCAAAAGAATCCACCAATCACCTCCTGAAAGAGATTCCAAATTGAAAACATCAAGGAATATTGTAGCCAGTTTCAAGAACTATCAGGTCAAGGAGAAAATACTGCAAGCAGCCAGAAAGAAACAACTCAAATATCATGGAACAACAGTCAGGATTACGCAGGACCTTGCAGCTTCTACATTAAAAGATCAGAGGGCTTGGAATATGATATTCCATATGGCAAAGGAACTTGAATTACAACCAAGTATCAACTACCTAGCAAAACTGAGCATAATCTTTCAGGGGAGGAAATGGAGATTCAATGAAATAGAGGACTTCCAGACTTTCCTGATGAAAACACCAGAGCTCAACAGAAAATTTTATCTTCAAATACAAGACTCAAGAGAGGCATAAAAAGGTAAACAGGAAAGAAAAAAAAACAAACATGTTATTCAATAAGGGCAAACTGTTTACATCCCTACATGGGAAGATGATACTTGTAATTCTTGAGAACTGTATCTTTATTATGACATTTAGAAGGGATATACATAGAGAGTATGAGTATAAGTTGACTTTGATGTGATGATAAAAAAACTAATTAAGTGGTGAAAAGGGATTGTAATGGGAGAAGAGGAAAGGAGGAGGCAGAAAAGAGTAAATTACATCACATAAAGAGGCACAAAGACATATTACAGTAGAGGGAATGAAGGAAGGGAGATAAGCATTGTTTGAACCTTACTCTCATCAGATTTGGCTCAAGGAGGAAATAATATATTCAGTTAGGTGTAGAAATCTAATTTGCCTTATAGGCAGTAGGAAGGGAAAGGGAAAGAAAAGGGAGGGGGTGGGTAGACGGGAAGGCAGATTGAGGGAGGCAGTGGTCAAAAGCAAACAACATTAAAAAGATGCTTCAGAATAAATTCTGGAACAGCAGAACCAACAACAGGGTGAAAATTTTTCAAGCCCAAGACAACTTAGAAGGTCAGCAATAAAGGTCTTTCTCACTAAGGTGACAATGGAGCATAGTCCAGTGCAGGCTGCACCCCAGAAAGCCAGCATCAGGCCTTGAGAAGAGACCAAATCAGCAGTGGTGGAGGCTTCCAGAGTTCTCAGTCCACAGATGGTAAGTGGGTCAGATAACTGGTCAGGAACCTTTTGCTGGCACTGGGTGCAGGACTCTGTTGCATTGCCTCTATGCAGATCTGGGTCCCAGTCTTAAGGGGAGAAGGAGCACTAGAAGGAGCACTAGAAGGAGCAAGGACCTAGTCGCAGTTCCAGAGTAGAAAAGATTTCTTGTGGTCACTCAAAGACCAGAACATAGGCCAGCAAAGCAGTGACCACATCTCTCCTTAGAGCACACTACCTTGGAAGAACTGAAAACTTACAGACCCCAAAACTAGCTCTGAAAATAGCAGCACAAAAAAGCACAAACTTGGGACCATGCCCCCTTACCCAGGAGGAGAGCCCAATTTTAGCATAAAGTTAAAAGTCAAGAAATAGACTGGGAAAAATGAGAAGAAAAAAAAAAAAGAACCTGAATATGGAAAGTTACTATGGTAACAGGAAAGATCAAAACACAAACTTGGAAGACAACAAAGTCAAAACTGCTATGTCCAAAGCCTCAAAGAAAAATGTTAATTTATCTCAGGCCCAAAAAGAATTCCTGGAAGAGCTTTAAAAGGATTTTAAAAACCAAATAAGAGAATTAGAAAAAAAAATTGGGAAAAGAAATTAGAGTAATGGGAAAAAAAACATGAAAAAGAGTCAACAGCTTGGTAAAGAAAGAACAAAAAAATACTGAAGAAAATAACACCTTAAAAAACAGAATAGGCCGAATGTAAAAGAGGCACAAAAATGTACTGAAAAGAAGAACTTCTTAAAAAGCAGAACTGGCTAAATGGAAGGGAAAAAAAAGATGCGCAAAAATTCACTGAAGAAAACAACTCCTTAAAAAGTAGAACTGGCCAAATGGAAAAAGGAGGTACAAAAGCTAATTCAAGAAAATCATTCCTTAAAAATTAGAATTTGGGAAGTGGAAGTTCATGGCTCCATGAGACATCAAGAAACAATCAAACAAAATCCAAAGAATGAAAAAATTGGAGAAAATGTTAGAAACAACTTGGAAAAATAACTTATTTGGAAAATAGATCTAGACGAGATCATTTAAGAATTATTGCACTACCTGAAAGTCATGATCCAAAAAAGAAGAGTTTAAACGTCATCTTTTTTTTTTGGCTAGGCAATGAGATTAAGTGACTTGCCCAGAGTCACACAGCTAGTAAGTGTTATGTATCTGAGGCCAGATTTGAACTCAGATCCTCCTGACTTCAGGGCCAGTGCTGTATCCACTGCACCACCTACCTGCACTCTAAACATCATCTTTCAAGAAACTATCAAGGAAAACTTCCCTGATATCCTAGGACCAGAGATTAAAATAGAAGCTGAAAGAATCCACCCATCACCTCCTGAAAGAGATCCAAAAATGAAAACTCCAAGGAATATTATAACCAAATTCTTGAGCTCCCAGGTTGAGAAAATACTGCAAGCAGTCAAAAAGAAATAATTCAAATATTGTGGAGCCACAGTCAGGATAATATAAGATTTGGAAGCTTCTACATTAAAAGACTGGAGGGCTTGGAATGTGATATTCCAGAGGACAAAGGAGCTAGGTTTACAACCAAAAATCACCCACCTAGCAAAACTTAATATAATTCTTCAGGGAGGAAATGGATATTTAATGAAACAGAGGACTTTTTTTTTTTTTTTAGGCATTTGGGGTTAAGTGACTTGGCCCAGGGTCACACAGCTAGTTAAGTGTCAAGTGTTTGGTCTGAGGCCGGATTTGAACTCAGGTCCTCCTGACTTCAGGGCTGGTGCTCTATCCACTATGCCACCTAGCTGCCCCCAAAACAGAGGACTTTCAAGCGTGCCTGATGAAAAGATCAGGGCTGAATAGAAAATTTAACTCTCAAATATAAGACTCAAGAGAAACATAAAAAGGTAAACAGGAAAGAAAAATTTGGAATTCAAAATTTTAAAAAATGAATGTTAACATTTTTACATGTAATTGGAAAAAATAACTTTAAAAAAAAAGTGCATTGAAACAAAAACCGGAGACACTGGTTGGAGATTTGGAATGCATCCTGGATCAGGTGTCCCATGGCCACACTCAAGACTGCTAACACTTATCAGAGCAGTGATATCAGGAGGCTTCACTGTTTTTATTACAAAGTATGGCTTATTGGTTGCTGAGTTGGGGGCAATAAATTTGGAAGTGAATCTTACAACAAAAGACATCAAATTAAAAAAAAAACATGATTTCCATTGGATTCCAACATATAAAGAACATTTATTTTTCAAGCAGAAAGCAGGAAAAGGAAAAAACAACATGGGCTAAATGGCTAAACATTCTTGGAGCCTTTGAGAAACAAGGTGTTCCAGCATGACAGTGAAGACAACAATGCTAAAATCTTCATCACCTTCAGGAAGTAGAATTGCTAGAATTCTAATGGATGGTAGACTAGCCTTGAAGTTTCACTTGAGGGGCTAGACTTCTGATATATTGGACTGGGTCCTTCAGGAGATCTCGAACTAGGCTGCTTTGACTGCCTACATCATTTTATCATTAAGGTTTTTTCCACTTTCTCTTTTTATATAGCATTATCACAGCCCATTTAAGCATTACAAAGCTCCAGCAAATGCTACCGCGAATTAAATAGGTCCTCCAGGATAGGAAATTTGTGTCTGTCTCACTCCCAAGATTTGCTGTTCGTCCACTATCACTGCTTCCTCCATAGCCAGGATCCTGACAGAAAGGAGGGGCCCATCCAAAATCGCAATGGCAGTTCCCTCGGTCGTTGCACACACCTCGATAGTTGCACTGCTCTGGGACACACTCCTGACGGATGCTGGAGATGTTGAGGCAGGTCTTGTTAACACACATCATGTTTTCCCCACATGAGCTGCCGTCCTCCACAGCTCCAAGATCAATCAAACCCTTCTCCTTTGCAGTCTTGCTAAAAGCTGTTCCCCAGCACAAGAGACCTTCCTTTTCAAGTGGCTCTTTTAAGTAAGTCTGAATCAGGGTGTAATAGTGAGGTACCTGAGGAATGATGTCAATCTTGACACATTGCAGTCTTCCACATAAGATATTCTGGGTTTTACAGCCTTTGAAAAAGGAAATTTGCCCAACTCCACAGTTACCAAAACGGTCACCTCGACTATTCACTTCCTTATAACATTGAGGGGGAGCATTCTCAGCTTGTTGCCCAAATAAAGCCTGGCACTGCTGAAGATGGCTTCCGCACTTTTTCTTGTAACAGTATCCTTTCCCACTACAGGGCGTACCATCTTGTTTGTATATGTCATCTGGGCAAAACTCTGAGGTCCCATTGCAGAACTCTGGGAGGTCACACTCATTGGCCTGTACTCGACAGACCCTGCCAGCTGGGAGAATCTTACAGTCTTTACAGCAAAGTCCAGTGCTACATTTGGCACCTTTGGAAAGAGTACAGCCTTGCTGGCAACAGGGATTTTTTCTGCATTCTGTCTCGGAGCCACAGTCACATTCCTCTCCTTCCTCCATGACTTTGTTTCCACATTGCTGCTTTTCCATCTTCTCCTCAGAGGTGCCACTGAGAGGGTTGGCCCTACTGTCCACTGAAGCCAGAGGACCATCAAAAGTACAGCTGCTTTTGAAGGAACCAGAGGTTTGGGCCCTACTGCCCACGGGGCAGGATTTCCTTTGACCCTGCAAGTTTTCCTCATCACTGGACTTTCCTAAGTCATGCCCCATTTCGCAGGAAACAAGAACAGAGAAAAAAATCAGGTGGACTCCGAGGTTAGCCCTAATAGCCAAACTGGGATAAGGATTGCATTTTGCGGTCCTGAAGTCTATTCCGAAGACGGGGTAGAAACTATGCTGCTGAAAGAGATGCACTAAATCGCAAAGTTGCTGCTCCCCAGGGCTCCTACTTTGCGGTTTGGCAGAATTTTGAAGAACACCGTTCAGCTTTTTGATGATATTCATAGGGCTAGGATTGGTCCAGAATTCCAGGGAGGACAAAGAGGCGTGCGCCTTGATCTGCATAAAAAGCGTGTCCACCAGGTTGAGTGTGAACAGCATGTCCTGGAGCAACACGGTTTTATTGCTGTTCCGGGATTCATACCACAACTTGCTCACCACAACTCCCATCTCCACCTTCTGCCTGCGCAAAAGGACATCATTAAAAGTGGCTGTGCGTGGGGATGATGTGGCCTCCTGGGCTTGGAAGAAGTCCTCATCTATCTCCTTTCTGGCTAAAGCGCGGGTCAGATTAGAAGCGCCCACGTCTGCTATTGGATAGAGATGGTGCTCAAAGGTGGAGGAAGTCGGAACGGGCTGGATTTGATAGTGTCTCCCGTTTGCCTGAAGCATCCCCCAGAGCCCACCCAAGCAGGTACTGAGGGCAGCCAAGGACTTGGGGATCCCTTCCATGTAGCCGTAGTAGTAGCAGTCATTCCGGAAGAAGGGATCCTCTTCCTGCGGGGCGTCCTTGGCTACGTAGGTGAACACGGGCAGGTGTCGGGGTAGCAGCATTTTCTTGGGTAGTAGGTGCACGATGTGCTTCTTGCCTGTGATGTGCAGGCTGTAAGAGACGTGCCCGGACGTCTTCGAGCCCCACGTCGGAGGGCTTATTTCCTTGGGGATCACTAGCTCAGCCGACACCGGGGGACGTTGGAGGGACATGTCGCGGCAACTGGCGAGGGTCAGCAGCGCACCTAGCCCTAGCAATAGGAAGGGGCCGTCCAGAAAGGGAGCAGCTCCTGTTACAGCTGCCCCCATGACGGGGCCTCTACAAGAAGGTCCGCAGAGCAGCTGTCAAGGAGCTAAGGAAGAGAGCGAAAGACTGAGAGCAGGACCAGTGCTGAGGGGGAGACACCTAGACCGGTCCCTCTGCCCTGATCCTTGAACGCAGGGGAGGCTCAGCGGGCAGCCTCCGAAGCCTCTTCCGGCCTCGCGGTGAAACCCGTGCAATGAAAGCAGTTATGTATACTGGTCAAGGGGTTGTTGGCGGAGCGCGAGAGGAGGGAAAACAGGGCAACAGCCTCCCTCGCCCCAAGGATTCCAGTTTCTCTTGTGCATGACCTGAAAGGGTCACTAGATGACTCTAGCGATAATAACAATCGGAGTTCACATTTGGACAGTGTTTTACCAGAGTAATTCCCATGTGTGCACTAGCATTCCACCCCATGAAGTATTAAAGATATTTTACCCATTTTGCTGATGAAAGACCTGAGGTTTTAAGAAGGGGAGTTCACATTTGGACAGCGTGCTTTTTTTTTTAATTAAATTTTATTTATTTTTGTTAAATTTTCCTCCCCACCCCGCACTACCCTCCCCACCCTGAACTTAGAGACGGCCACCATTTGACGCAGAATGTAATGTAATATAATATAATATATAATATAATATAATATAATACAATACAATATAATATAATATATGATACAATATATGATATGACATACATATATCTATATAATATAGATATATATGTAGTTTTACATGTATATGTATTAGATATGTAGTTTTACATACATATATATAAAATCATACTATACATCTTTTTATCATGTCTTTCTCTGGAATTGGATAGTATCTTCATAGGTCCTTTGTAGTTGATATGAATATTTATAATATTTCAAATAGCTTAGTCATTCACAGTTATTCTTCAAGTAGTATTGCTGTTACTATATACAACAGTTCTCTTGGCTCCCATTTCACTCATTTTGTGCACGTCTTTCCATGTTTTTCTAAAATCAACCGGCTCATCATTTCTTACAGAAGAGTAGTATTTCATTACAATCTTATACCACAATTTGTTTAGTCATTTCCCAATTGATGGACATCTCCTCAATTTCTAGTTCTTTGCTGCCACAAAGAGAGCTACTATAAACATTTTAGAATAGGTTATTTTCCTTTTTCCCTGGAAACACATTGGGATCACCTTGGGAAACAGACCTAACAGTGGTATTGTTGGGTCAAAGGGTATACAGTTTAATAACTCTTTGGGCATAATTCCAGATTGCTCTCCAAAATGGTTGGATCAGTTCCAACTGATACTGTTCCACCAAAATTATTGTATTAGTGTCCCAATTTTTTCACATCCCCTCCAACATTTGTCATTTTCCTCTTCTATCATTTAAGCCAATCTGATAGGTTTACTATCTCAAAGTTACTTTAATTTGCATTTCTCTAATCAATAAGTTTAGAGCATTTTTTCCATATGACTATATATAGCTTTGATTTCTTCATCCAGAAACTGCCTATTCATATTCTTTGACCATTTATCATTTGGGGAATGACTCATATGATTGTTGTTGTTGTTGTTGTTGTTGAAGGATGAACAAAAACATTTGGGAAATGACTTATATTCTTATAAATTTGACAAAGTTCTCTACATATTTGAGATGAGACCTTTATCCAATAAACTGTCAATAAAATATTTTCCCCAATTTTCTGCTTTCCTTTTAATCTTGGCTACATTGGTTGTATTTGTGCAAACCCTTTTTAATTTAACAAAATAAAAATTATCCCTTTTACATCTCATGACACTCTCTATTGTTTATTCATAAATTCTAGTCCTATCCATAGGTAATATGTTCCATGTTCTTCTAGTTTACGTATGATATCTTCCTTTATGTCTAAATCATGTATACATTTTAACCTTTTCTTAGTAAATGGTGTAAGATATTGATCTACCTAGTTTCTGCCAGATTGCTTTCCAGTTTTCCCAACATTTTTTTTCACCAAATAGTGAATTCTTATCCCCCCAAATTAAAATTTTACATCTGTAAAACTCAACTTTACTATGTACCATTTGTCTACTCTGTTCCACTGATCCACCTTTCTATTTTTTTTTTTTTGCCAGTACCAGATAAGTTTGATACTTACTGCCTTAATACAGTTTAAGATCTGGTACTGCTAAAACTCTTTCCTTTATGGTTTTTTTTTTCATTAATTCCTTTGCTATTCTTGACCTTTTGCTTTTCCAAATGAATTTTATTATTTTTTTAGCTCAATAAAATATATATATTTTTGTAATTTAACTGGGAAGGCATTGAATAAATAGATTAGTTTAGGTAGAATTGTCATTTTTATTATATTGGCTCTGCCCACTCATGAACAATTAATATTTCTCCAATTACTTAAATCTGATTTTATTTGTATAAAAAGTATTTTATAATTATGTTTATCCAGTTCCTTGGTTTGTCTTGAGAGGTGTATTTTATTGGCAGTCTCAGGTATTTTATGCTGTCTATGGTTATTTTAAATGAGTTATCTCTTACTATCTCTTATCTGGAAGTTTTGTTGGTAATATATAGAAATGCTGATGATTTATGTGAGTTTATTTTATGTCCTACTTTGCTAAAATTATTATTTTAACTAACTTTTTAATTGATTCTCTACTATTTTCCTCATATAATATCATATCATCTGCAAAAAGGGGTAGTTTTATTACTTCATTCATTGCTCGTTCTGATTCCTTCAATTTCTTTCTCTTCTCATTGCTATTACTAACATTTCTAACACAATGTTGAATAACAGTGATAATGGACATCCTTGTTTCACTCCTGATATTATTGGGAACACTTCCAGCTTATTCTCACTACAAATTATGCTTGTTGATTATTTTAGGTAGATGCATCTTATCATTTTAAGGAAAAATTCATTTATACCTATGCTTTCAAATGTTTTTAATAGGAATGAGTATTGTATTTTGTCAAAAGCTTTTTCTGCATCTATTGATATGATCATAGTGTTTTTTGTTACTTTTGTTTTTAACAATCAATTTTGTTAATAGTTTTCCTTATGTTAAACATCCCTGAATTCCTGGTATAAATCCCACTTGGTCATAATGTAAAATCTTTGTGATGTATTTTTGTAATTTCCTAGCTAGTATTTTATTTAGGATTTTTGCATCTATATTCATTAGTGAAATTGTTCTAAAATTTTCTTACTCTGTTTTTACTCTTTCTGGTTTAGGTATCAGCACCATATTTGTTTCATAAAAGGAGTTGGTATGACTTTTTCTTTGCCTATTATTCTGAATATTTAATATTGGAATTAGTTTATCTTTAAATGTTTGGCAGAATTGACTTGTAAATCCATCCGGTCCTGATGCTTCTTTCTTAGGAAGTTCATTTGTGGTCTGTTCAATTTCTTTTTCTAAAATAGGTTTATTTAGATATTCTATTCCCTTTTCTGTTAATCCAGGCAATTTATATTTTGTTAGTATTTTTCCATTTCATTTGAATTGTTAAATTTATTAGCATATAATTGAGCAAAATAACTCCTAATAATTACTTTGATTTCATCTTAATTAGTAATATATTCACCCTTTTCATTTTTGATACTAGTATTTGGTTTTCCTCTTTCTCTTTTTTAAATCATATTAGCCAATGGTTTATCTGTCTTACTGATTGTTTTTTCATAAAACCAATTCCTAGTTTTATTTATTAATTCAAAGGTTTTCTTACATTTAATTTTAGTAATCTCAACTTTAATTTTTAGGATTTCCAATTTGGTATTTAATTTGGGATTTTTAATTTGTTCTTTTTCTAGGTTTTTTTTTTAATTGCATACCCAATTCATTCTCTCCCTCTATTTTTACTCTATCCCTCTTCAGAAGTTCAATTTACTTCTGACAACTGTCTCTCTAATTCATACCCTTCCTAATAGTCCCTCTCGCCCTCTTCTTTGGCCCTCTTATTTCTTAATCTGCATACCCTTCTAAGAATTCCTCCCTTATCATGTCCCCTATCCCTCCTATTTCTCTGTAAGTCAAGAAAACTTTTATATAGCCTTCTAGATATGCAAATCATTGCCTCTTTAACTCAGTTATGTTGAGAATAAGGTTCTAGCACTACCAACCCTCCACCCTCTCACTCACCCTTCACTGTAACAGTTCTTCCATTTATGCCACATTTGTATAATTGCTCCATTTTACCTCTCCCTACCCAATTTTATTTTGATCATCCCATCATACTTACCTCAACTCCAAGCCTTCTATATATGCTCTTTCAAACTACCCTAGTAATGATAACATTCTTAAGCATTACAGATACAATTTTCCCATGTAAGAATAAACAGTTTGACCTTATTAAATCCCCTATAATTGGTCTTTCATGTTTACCTTCTTATGTTTTCTCCTGATTCTTGTAGGTCAAATTTCCTGTTCAATTCTGGTCTTTCCCTCAAGAATGCCTGAAAGTCCTTTAATTCTAATTAAATATCTTTTTTTCTTGCAGGATTATACTTGGCTTTGCTGGATAAGTTACTCTTGGTTCCAAACCCAGCTCCTTTGCCCTTTGGAATATTATGTTCCATGCCTTTTGGTCTTTTAATGTAGAAGCCGCTAAATCTTGTGTTATCCTGACTGTAGTTCCATAATATTTAAATTGTTCCCTTCTGGTTTCTGTAGCATTTTCTCCTTGACCTGGGAGCTTTGAAACTTAGCCGTAATGTTCCTGTGAGTTTTCATCTTGGAATTTCTTTCAGGTGATCACTAGATTTTTTGAATTTCTATTTTACCCTGTAGTCCTAAAACTTCAGGGCAATTATCCTTAATAATTTCTTGAAGTATAATGTCTAGACTCATTTTTTGATCATAACTTTCAGGTAATCCAACAATTCTTACTTGTCTCTCCTCAATCTGTTTTCCATTTCCTCTTCTATTTTTTTTCTTTTGGTTTTTTTTTAAATTATTTTTTAGTGTCTTATAAAGTCATTAGCTTCCCCTTGCCCAATTCTCATTTTTAAAGAGCTATTTTCTTCTGTAA